GGCCCTTGTCGGCCAGCAGCCTCCCTGCCTCTCCCCCCCCCCGCCGATAGACTTCCCCCGGCCAAGGAGGCTCGGTGTGGCTGCCCCTAGCAAGACGGAGCGTGGCCGGGCTGGGTCTCCGCCGCCGGCTGCCCGCTCTCCCGGCCCCCCGGAAGAGGGTCCCCGGGGCGGGGAGGGGAGTGGGCAGCCAGCCTGGGAAGGGGCCGGAGGGTTAGAGGGACTGAAGCATCTGATGTCCCCGCTGGAGGCTCTGAGGTGCCTGCCAGGCAAGCCTGATGGGTCTTGTTCCCCTGTCCCCAGCAGCTGAGCATGAGAAATGTCTTCCCTTTGGATGGATGGAGGGAGGGAGGAAGGAAGGAAGGAAGGAAGGGCTGATACATAAGGGAGATCTTGCAAAGGGTCCATCTAGTCCAGCTTCTTGTTTCTAAGAAGCCCGTTGAAGGCCATTGCTCGTGGCACTTTCTGTGTCTGTCTGTGCAGGCAGGTATATACTTTTAATTTAGAGGCCGGTGCAGCCTCCCCCCATCAAGGTACTTGTGTGGGAAAAGTACCCGTCACTCTTGAGCTTATTCCTAGGTTTTACCTAGGAATCAAATTTGCCCAAGTGACCAAGTAGTTGCTTTTCCTCTTTCGTTTTAGCGATTAGCCCCCTGTATCTTCAAGAGCGCAATCGGTGGCAGTCGATTAACAGCTGGTCCGTTCTCTGTTTCTCTAAATTTGCTTTTTAAGAGCCTTTCCGTGTTATTAAAAAAAGAGATAAGCTGGTGTCCTTCGGGGTCTGGTTTTTCAAGGATGCTTGGAGCTCCTGTACCTCCAACAAGCTTTTGTAGAAGGGACTCTTCTGGATCCAGCTGTTGATTTCCAAACGGGTGCTTTTGCCCTTCCAAAGTAGGCTGAAGGGGGTTACAGTCTAATTAAAAACACGCCTGTTATTGTTCACCGCAAGGCTGCTTTGAGCACAAGATGACAGGGCACCGTCCGGTAGCTGTGAATTGCTTTGTGCTCATTATGGACTTTGTGACCTGCTCATGTTTCTGTTGTCGGTCACCTTGGCGCTCTGCCTGCTGCCTGTCAGCTTTCAGCCTGAACCAGCTGCAGCGGCTTGCCATGCAAAGAGAATTTGAAGCTTTTGGGACCGAAAGTGCCCTCTTTTGCTCAACAGGTCACATAGGAAGTCCAGACCTTCAAACCAAAACGATTCCATTGAGTCCAGATTGGCCACGTGGGCGGTTTTCTTGGCAACAGCGCAAAGGTTTTGGGGTGTTTTTTGCAGTATCTTGATCTACCCAACTTGGGATGACCTGTGGTCGCCCATCCGGGTACCAGTAAGGTCGAACCCTGCATAGCTTCTTCAAGATCAGCCAAGGTTGTCTAGGGATGGCCCGGTTAAAAGCTAGGAAAACACCCTCTTTGAAAAGTTGAACAGGTCCATGGCTGAGTTTCTATATTTCGCTAAGCCTAGTGAAGTTTGGTTAGCTAGGGCTTAACATCTGGGTGAATTTAATCACGGTGAGTTTGAGTTTTATTGCTATGTGCAACCCTACACAATCAAGGCTTGTTAAACCATGATTGAGTACACTCTGGGAACACCAAGGGCTCAGCTTGAGTCATTTTCCCTGTGACTGATTGTCAAAAACACTTGGGACAATGCGTCTTGCGCGGCTTAGAAGGAGAAATATTGCAGGACCTGTGCTTTGTCTCTTGCTGGGGTTGGGCACATAAGGTATTGCATGTATTCAGAGTTCAAAGTGTGTTGTATATTTTGTGACCAGACCTGATTGCAAAGCAACTTTTGCTGGACGAGGTTGATCCCGTTCCCCGGGGGGATGGAAATGGGCCACTGCATTCCAGGTGATGCAGAACAATGAACTAGATTGCATACAAATGCAGTAGAACCCATCAAGAAGAGATACAACCTCTTCCAACCTTCCTCTTTAAAAAAAAAAAAAGATAAAGACTTCCATAAATGAAGCTCAGCTCCTGGTAATTATGTGGGTTTGTCGTTTTCATGGCTGCAATACGGAAATGGTTTCTCCTTAGCTTCCTCCAGTTTGTTCTTCAACTTCCCAGTCTAGTCTACGGCCTGTGGATGTCTTTCCCATTCATAAAGTCTGATCCAAGATCAGCCAGGGTTGCCAGATGCTGCCACAGACTGTGGGACTCCAAAATTGCTGCAGTTTTGAACAGGACAGAAAGGGAAGTCTGTGTCTGGAGAGTCCTTCAGTTAAGCATATTTTAAGTTTGCTTAAATGTAAATGACATCCCATCCAATTTGTCCCTCTGTTCTTGTTCTGCAGCATTTTGGAAACAACCATTCCCAGTCTCAGAGAGCTCTATGATGGGGTGCTTCCTGGTTGATGCCAAGTGAGTGCGCCAACACCAGAAGAGGGAGAGGTGGGGAGGGTCCTGTCCATTCTGATGGACAGTTCCTTCCCTACCTGGAGTCCACCTAGGTGCCAGCACCTCTCTGATCTCAAAAAGTTAAGCAGGTTTGATTGGTTCTTGGATGGGAGGACACCAGAAAAATCTCAGGGAGGTAGGAGAAATGGACAATGTCCTGGAAGAAGATAGTGGAAGACCTCTTAAGACCCCCGTATTCCCAGGAAACCTATTTGGGTAGGGACATCAGGAGGCAGGTTGAGCTCCAAGGAGTCTTCCCTTTCAGCTTTGTCTGAAGCAGAGGCCATCCATCTGCAGGTTACTAGGCAAAGGTTTATTTGCAAGGCTGAGAAGGATGCAGAATTAACCAATTACTTCTCCTAGACAAGATAAAGATAAGTTGATGCATTGGCCTGATGGAAGGGAAGATTTCTAACATCTTAAATATATTCTTTTCTTTCTGGGACTGTTTTTAAGGTGAGAGGATTTGCAGCTAGCATCTTATCCGATCTTTGAAATATTAATGGCCTTGGCTGTTTGGAAGCCAGGTTCCAAGTGTTAGCTGTTAGTCTTGTTCCAGAGGAGATGTCGCAAAAAAAAAAAAAATTTAGCCCAGAGTTGCTGGTTTTGAGTCACAGAGAGGTTTTCTTTATGACTAATACTGCGGCTGTACAAACCTCTCTTCAGCCAGTGAAAGTCAGTGATGATCATATTTCCCTGCAAATACTTTTCCTCCATAATTCATGCCCTACAAGATGCAAGGTATTCATTACCGTTCTTTTTAAAATAGCATATATTTCGTCTCGTTCTCCGTGCGCACAATTTTCCTTTGATCAGTGTTTTGTATAGGAGACAGTAAACGGGTTCTCCTGTCATTCTAAGCCAAAATATGATTGTTTGGACTCAATTTTGCAGCTGGCATGGCGTTCTCTGGAGCCAGGGCTCGCCCCAAAGACCTCTGAAGACTGTTGTTGAACTCTAATTTTTAATATTACAGAAAGAGGCAGCGATTAAACGTATGACCTCAGGGTAATCCTATTTACGGGGAATTAAATGTAGTTTAATTTATTTTTGCCATGGCTCTACTCGGTCTGCTAATTTTTGGCACATGCCCCAGGCTTCGACCGGAGAAATGATATCCAGGTTTACGACTGAGTGCGACATGCATCAGTTCATCGAGGTGGCCCAAGTCAGGAAACAGACACTGCAAGGATTACTGGAACTCTCCTTTATTATAGAAGGGTATAATAACAGAATCTTGAAAGCCTGGCAGAATTTCCTTCTGCCCCCATTTATGTCACAAAAAATCAAGGCAGCATTTCTCTCTTATCTGCTGACGGTTCTCGTGCACCTTTCCCTCTGCCATACGTGAGCCCAGCCCTTACTCTGCCAAGCATGGTTAAAACCATAGATTATTGTGATTCAACATGGTTAAAATAAATTCAGAAAGTCTTGCTCTATTCCAAAGAATAGTCTTTGTTTAACACTGAGATTTTTTTTTTTAATTGGGATCGATTTGGTTTTAGTTCAGTTTTAGTCCAGTCCTTTTCCAACCCAAACCTTTTCGCAACTCCTCAATCTTCCATCAGTGTGGCTGCATTTCACACGCGGCGTGATTGCATTTGGAAGTTAGCGTAAGGTCCATCGGTTTGTTAGATATCTGGAATCTGGCGGCACCTTTCCCAATTAACACATTTTATTCAAAGGCAGGCAGTTTTGCGAGCTGCAGCTTCCTTCGTCGGATGCCCTGAAGATGCACCCAATGAAGTGGGGTGCAGTTCTTGAAAACTTCTGCCTCTTAATAAAATTGGTCAGTTGGAAAAAATGCTACCAGTTTCCTGATTTTGGGGGCCAGATTCCATCTCTCCTCCTTCAATGATTTGTTAAATGAAACTTTTATCAACAGTTTAATTTGAATAAGAAGGTTCTCCTAGTTGATCAGTCTACAGCAGTGTTTCTCAATCTTGGCAGCCTTTAAATAGGTGGAGCCCTAACCCCCCCGCTCCCCCCGCACCCCCCGTTGTGGGTGTGAGTTACTTCAGTGTGAGAAAACAGCTAT